TTTTAAATTTTTTTTTTTTTTTTTTTTTTTTTGCTATACATTATTGCTCACTTACACTTAGCATGCCGTCAAGCGAAATCAAAAATAAAACGGATATCCATTTCGTGTAATACGAAAAGCAATCGTATCGTGAAAATAATGCATATAATAACAATATTATTAATATGCTTTTTTTTTTTTTTTACACGATACGAGCGATAAAAATTCGCCCGTTCGACGAAACCGATATATTGCGTACTCAATTGTAACGTTATTATCGAATGATAAAACGGGGTTTTATTTTTAATCGGAATATCAATGTTAAATTTATCGGTTTTTAGAAATTCCTATTAATAACGATGTTCACGAACAATCAAATTTATCGATAAATAGTTAAACGCAATAATTAAAGTATCTTTTTTTGAAATTTTTAGAAGCCTACCCGCCCAACGACGTGGTGATTGATAATATTCGATTTAATTATATTTTCTAGTACGCCTGAAAATCTATGCCACCGATTCGTAGACAGCTTACTGCTGCATTTTGATGTTATTATATTATGTAATTACTAAAAAAAAAAAAATGTTTGCCGAGCTGTTCAGTACCAATCGGTTCTGTAATCATGATTACGGAAGGCTAGGTTAGGTTAGATTAGTAAGGTTAGGTAAGGCAGTGTTGGAAAATGTTGGCCGCGCGGTCAATGTTATTCAATCTATGCTCGTGACGCCATCGAAATCGTAAGTAACTTACCATTTTTATAGAGCACCAAATTGAAAGTAGTTTTTTTTGGATTCCGAATGGTTCGAGGAATATATTGGTTTCACAATGATGTTATTTTTTCATCCGTAAATAATTTTTTTTACCTAAAATTTCGCTCCGATTTACAAGCGTGGCATTTTTTCCAAATAAAAATCCGACCGGGGCGGTATTTTAAGGAGGTCGTTTTTGATTTTCCCAGGAGTTTAAAAATAAATAACCTTTTCAAAAAATGATGGTAAAAATCGGGAAAAAATGGGAAACCGTACGAAGTGTAAGTATTTTTGTTGTTTTTTTTTTTTTTTTTCATTATTATCATTATCATCTAGAAAACGAACTGCCGGTTATTTAACTTTGTCTACGTAGACAGTTGATTCAACAACTATTATCCATCCTTCGCCCCCGCTGTCGTCCAGACAACGTAATACGCAAATTGTTATTTTGAAAATAGTAACAATAGTATTGTCGTTATTAGCAGTTTTGTATCGGTATCCTGCGGAAGTTTAAAAACGTATATTTACACGCGCTGGGACGAGACAAGCTGCGGGCGCCGTACCGCCGGGAACGTCTGCCGGTCGACAGCGATATCATTATCGTGTTACGCGCACAATAATAATTATAATGCTCAATAGTATTTCAAACAGCGTGCCCGTCGCGAGCGGTCTCCATTGCGCCGACTTTTACAAAATTTACGTGTACGACGATCGAGCGACACGCGCGCGGGTCGTAAATAACGGTCCTAAGCGCCCTGTATACGTAATATGCAAATCTTTCCGTAGCACTCGGGCCGACTGTCGTGCGAATCCGACCGTAACAATATTATTACGTCGTGGGCACACGTCCCCGACTAGTTTTCTTTTCATTCGGCTAGGAACGTATCGGTTTTTAATACGATGACGCGCGCGCTCGTACATTTGTCGTATCCGTTGCCGACTTTACCGCCGGAAATTTTACTAAGGTCGAGCCGGTCGGTTACAAACGATGTTTAGGGATTCGTGGTGTGCGACATTTTTCGCGCGCTTCAATTTTCAAACGGGTAATTCGATTTTTCCGTGAATATTGTATAATTTGATAATATTTTCATCGTATTAATTTAAACTGCGAGTCTGACTAACGTTTATTATTTTTGTCGTTAGTAAAACAAATAAGAAATAAATTTGAATTTTAACAAACTTTAAATTTGCTTTAAAATGAACGACGTTACCGAACCGATAGTTCTGAACACCAACAGTAACTATTTTGGATTATAATGAAAAATCTGAATTTTTTTCATTTGTAGTTATAATGTAATACAGCGAAATATAAAATATAAAAATTATAACCCGGAACTCTGGAAATTATTAAAAAAAAAAAATAAAACATATAAAAACCAATACCTAAAAATATTCAATGTAAAAAAAAGTAATAACATTTGTCGGTCCAGCTAAACCGTGTTTACACTGTATCACTTAATTTGATCAACGTATAACGAACGAATATAAATAACGCGACATTTATTGCAAAAACGAAAAAAAATAAAATAAAAAGTCAGTGTCGTAAACGCATTTAGGGAGTGACGTATCGCCCGCGTCGTCGCCCACGCGAGAACGCCCCTGAATCGAATGCGCTTTTCGACGACCGGGTTACCGGTAACGACGAACAATTAAAGGACCTGCGTTCGCGCGTCTTCGGTTACCGGTCGCCCGATCGGGTGAGACGGTACCGAACGGTAACCGCAACTGGTTGGTCGCGTGCCGGCAACCTGACCTGACCCAACCACAGAGTGGCGGGCGGACCGCGTTCGCCGATAACCGGACCGCGAAAACGTGCCCAACGTATTGTAATGTGTATAACAGCAGCAGAGCACGGAGCCCGGGAGCCGCGGCGGTGGGTTGTTCCGAATTCGCGCGACGACGGCCGCCGTTAAGAGCACACCCTGTACAAATCGCGATTTCCCGTCGCACTCGCCGTCACTTTGCGATACCGTACGTGGCCTGACCTTTGTGTACGTCGCATACAGAGCGTACGGAATTTCATGTTCCGGCGATATTTTCCTAGAAAACATATTATGCAAAATAAAAAAAAAATAAAAAATGCGGGTACCACGAAACATGTTTATCTAAATAGAGTGTAATATAAAGTTATGCGCGGGTTTGAAATTTTCAAACGCCCTCCTGCGAGAGTGGGGGATTCGAGGGTCTAGAAATATAAAACCCGCGTATAATATTTTGATATCACGCTATTTATTAAAAATATCTCGTTGTTCTCTGTTTTGTGTGCTTACGTAGGAGAAAATCGCTGTAACGTAAAATTCCGTACTCTCCGTATGCGTACACACCGCAGGCTGATTCACTAAGCACACGTTGTTTTTAGTTAAATTTCGCATATATTCGAATTCTGATTTTTCGAATTTTTAAGCGACCCGGCACGTGGCGTTTTATCTGCGCGTCACCGTGTACTCTGCCCTCTACCTAAACTTAAAAGTGGAATAACTCGTAAACGGGTTGACGGATATCAAACATTTTAACAACAACATTTATTTAAAGCGCAAACACTCCGTCGATTTATCGCATTTTTATTACGGGTTTTCGTTTGAAACACCATAGTCGGTATCGCCACAGGTATCGCCTTGAACGTTGTGAAAAATCCGAGTGTTCGAAAATATCGGTTTTAACCGCGTGCACTTAAAAATTCCAAAAATCAGAATCACACGGAACACACGTAAAATTTAACAAAAATACAGAATGTGCACGATTAGCGAATCGCCCTGTATAAATATATGTATATTTGCATGCAGTACACGACGAACTTTGGCCGCGAAGTTTGCGCAATCCGTTATGCGTGCACTCTAGAACCACCGTTCGACTTGCGCCACACGTACTCGTGTTGGGTCCGCGGTGACGCCGACGGAGGCTGTAGCGGCGACGAATGGCTGCGGAGGCGGTAGCGGCGGGAG